GTTTTTTTTTTTTTTTTTCTTTACGAATAACGACCATCTGATACGCGTCGCGGGTTACAACTGCAGACCGTCGTTGCTCCCTGCTGCGTATGCCTATACGTATACCGGACTCTGTACGTTGGTAGGTGTAGTTGGAGACTGTAGAAGAAAAATATTGTTTTTTCGTTTGGCATATATTCCCTCGAGTTTCCATATATATATTTTTTATTATATTCAAGGTATATTGGGTTATATCGTATTATATCGTGTGTAACCGGAGTAACTGATAACAAGTTTGCGTCACGGCGCCACCTGTGGCGCGCACGATTCCGATCGGTTGCGTAAACAGTCGTAAGGCTCTCCGAGATACAGGTAATACGCATGTAAGCGAACACACCGACGACGACGACGACGACGAGGGACATTAACGCTCTTGCGATCAGTCGCTCGGAGAAGAGTATACAGCGGGTGGTACTCGTTGGAAAAGTACCGGAATTTTTTTCTTTCTTTTTTGGACGTTCCATGAAAATTCGATCGGAGACGCTCGTTGCATCTGCCTTCACGCGTCGCGTGACGCGATGCCCGATCGGTCAGGGTAGTTGAGGATGCTAAAAAAAAAAACAATTTTGTCCGAGCGTCGCGACGCTCATCCCCCGTCTCCTCTCGGGACGTCCCCACGTAATGTATCTCGGACGTGGGGACGTCGGGTCGGAGGTGGCGGCGCCACTTGGATTTCGTAACGAGGATTTTTCTCCCTATCGGTTCCCCCGAGCGACCTGAATGGAGGCGTCAGAATTCTTATCGCCCGGCAGCCCGTTACATCATGCTCCCCCCCCACCCGGTATAAGTCTTGTCCTCCCGCGTGGATACTTCGCGATCGTTCGGGATCGCGACTCGAGGATGACGACAATAGTTGTCCGGCTGTGCTCGGGCTATCGCTAGAATGTCGGCGCTATCACCGGCGAGCGATTGTGTTGTGTTGACAGGGGCTCTTTAAACCCATGCATCCAGCGCGTGTTCCCATTCGGAACGTACGCCCGACGTCGCATGCCAACTATAAACGCGCCTTGAGGCTTGCGCGGCACTTTTATACGCCGTTGCGAATACGTCTATAGGTATAACCGGGCGGGAGGTTCGACGTGTAGTTTACCGCAGAGTCCCCTTGGCCCCCTCTCCTACGGTACCCACAGGTCACTACAGGTCTGACAAATGGCTCGTACCTATATATATATATATACTGGCAATCTATCCACGTGTCCCTCATGCGCGAAGGACTCGCTCGGAGACCGATGGACGCGCAGGTGGCGCGCTCTAGTTGGAAAAAAGGAAACTAGCCCAGGACAAGGGGCACGTTGTCACGGGAGTAGGAATTCCGTTGGGTCTCTCTGGCGTAACGACGATACGGGGAGAGTCGTGCGCGTCGGCGCTGCTCCGACGCTCTCGTGTAATGAATGGATTAAACAACCTGACGTCACGGGATGGATTATATAAACGGTGGCGTGCATGACAACGAACGTAAGAAGGAAGTTCGCTTCCTTTTGTCACCGAGAAGGCATTCCCGTTGCGAACGCGTGCTTTACGGGACGTGAACGTTCCCGCACCGTACTATACGTGGTGTTGTCACGTGTTTATATATATGTATATACGTTGTGTACCCTACAGGGTGCATCCACCCTCCAGGGTTCGCCTTCCACGGCTGACCTTCCCCTCCTCTCACGCACGTCTCCACGCAGCCGCTCGCACGTGTATCGCCGCGTATCCACTACCGAAACTTCCGGGACAGACGTCGAGACGCGGGCAGACGCCTCTCGGGGTTCCATTGATGAACCCCGGACTTCCTTTACCTCCTTACGGCAGTCCCTTCCCTTTCTTCGTACGAATTATCCAGCGAGTCTTATGCTTTTCTCTCTTTCTCTCTCTATCCCGACTGTATGCTTTGTCCTCCGTCCCACCGCCTTCCCTCCCACCCCTCTGTCCCTTCTCGTCCCGTCGACGTAACGTAGTCTGGGAGGCGTCTACGGGTCGACGCCCGGCCAGGAATAGAAGCGCCGCGACGCTCCCAGCTTATGTCACCTACAATACCGAATAGCTGATTCTCGAGCGTCTGGCCCCGTTTCTATAGACGCGTACTTGTCTCTCTCTCTCTCTCTCTCTGTGTATATATATTTATATATAGATATATCCCGACTGCATTCCACTCTGGACTTTTCCCCTAATGCTGCACTCTCAATAACACTCCAATTACCTGGACGACTCTGTATTATACTGCCTGGGACGTTTTCCTGCCCGTTCGTGTGCTCCTTGTGTGTAACGGCTAACGGTTTTACGTCGTTGATCTTGATCGTCTCCTGATCAGTCGGCTTCGTGCCACTGACAATAAGGCCCCCTTCTGCTCCCGGCCTTCATAACGCTGCCCGGGTCTTTACCAGGAGAGCAGGTGTAGAGTGAAGACCCGTCTGCGCCGTAGACTAGGTAAATGGGAAGAAGGGCAGCTGCTCCTTACGAATTGGTAGAGGTTAAAGGAGGGGCGGGAGCCCACTTGGGGCACGACGTACATATATATATATCTGGAACGGTTGGGGGGGATATATATTCTACGACCGCTAAGGTAAACGATATAATGGGGCCCTAAGTCCCCGGGACCCCAGGTAACATTCCCGAGACAGATGTCCTGGACGAGACACGTGCCCTGTCTTTTTCGGTACTGTCCTACCTAATTTCCCCCCTTACCTCTCTGCACCTCCTCTCGACACCTCCAAAAGATCTTCCAGCTACCAGGACACCCCCCCCCCCCCCCC